TTATGGTTCCTGATCTTTGCTCTCCAGAGTTGATCCCACAACATTTTCGCCCTGTTGCTTTTCTTTCTTGCGCTGCATCAATTATTAGAAACACTAAATGAAGCCTTTTGATCATTACATCCAAAGTGCAGTAGAAAAAGGATGGAGTAAGCAGCATAAACATGAGAAGCAAGTTGATCGAAACAAAGCATCTATTGTTCTTTCATGCGGGGACTGCAATAAAAGTGGTGGGAGCAGATGTTGTTTTATCAATTCTGCGATTACTTCAGGTGCCAGCATTGATGCATACTGGCTTACAGTTGGGTAAACATCAGCGCCCATAACAAGCAGACTCCTGTGCCTATAGGTTTAGATTATTCCAATTTTCTATTTAAATCTAAACAGCTCCTTAAATTATGCTAGTTAAGCTCAACCCAGAGGTTCGACAGTTTCTTTCAAAGAAACATGTTACTTGTATCACAACACCTCCTTCTGGTCTTAAATATGGATACTATAAATTGCTCAAACAGTAGAAGAAGATGCAGGTTTACTTCTGTCAGAACATCAGTTAGGTTGGGAACTAGATTGCTTGAACAGCACAAGATGTAACTCAAAAACTTGATCATATCAATCCAGGTTACTTCTATCATCATCTCCTTTTTACCCTAGACATGTCTGTTATATGAGAAATTTTTACCAGAACTACTATGCTAGTCATTTGTTCAACATTAAAATAAAAGAGCAATATAGGGAAACCAGTAAGGACTAACAAGTCTAACACTATTAGAAAGTTGCAGGTTAATTCCTCTTATCTTCTTTTTGAACAAAATCTCTTCTTACCTTCATGTCCAGAATTCTTCTACTGTATAATATAACATATGCACTATATGTTCCAGTCCTAACTGAAATTTCAAAAGTTTGCTGAGCACTCTAAATTAAAATAAGAAAAATAAAAAACACAGTTGGATTGATGGAAACATGACGCTAGCTCCAAAAGAATAATTCAAACACTGGAACCAGCCCTGTAACATTCATCCATAGGTAGGCAAAGAATGTAACCTTTGGAAGAAGCCCTTCCGCGGACATCAGTTCATACAACTTGCGCATGATTGTCTCTTCTTCTATCTGTAGAAAGTTTTAACAAGATCAGTATATCAAATATTAATGCCGCAGCAAAATAGTTCATAGTATCAGAGGGTCACCTGCAGTTTATGCAACTCATGGGACATTGCTCGGTATGTTTCCATTAGTGCTTGATTTTGCTTGTCCAAATGCCTGCAGACGACCTTTTATTATCTTATGAATGAACTGAAACTATGATTTATTTGGTGCTAAAAGATACTAGTAGTCAAGAAACAGTACTTGGACACTTCAGCCGAATGCTTCGGATCCATTATCACCAAACAACTTGATATGTTTCCTGCAAATTAATAAACTATTACTCTATTAGACAATCCAATTCACAATTGTCCTCCACCACGCTGCATAACTATCAGGTATACAAATGCCATTGCAAGCGTGTAACATCTTCTAATTTATCCAATAACAATCACCCTAAATTAAGCTACTACATTGACCACTGATGTTGTGTATTAAAATCAGCAAGGTATGACACATGTGTTCCAATCTGTCTAAATGTGCCAAAAACTGACTCCCGTGCATCAACAATAACCCAGTTTTTTTTAAAATGAAATAGAGCTTTTAAAGCAATCGATTACAAGTTGATTGGTAGGGAGGGAAACAGAGTCAACTACAAAAGGTAGGAATACATACACTCGAATTACAAGCTACTATACATTCCAAGAAACAGAGAAATAAGCAAGGGGGTTTCCACTCAAACGCCCAGTTTTGGGGGAGGGAGGGGAGGAGGAAAAACATAAGCGCCTGGGGTACCAAGTCCTGTGGAGTCAACCAAGATCGATCTTAAGCGTGCAGGACGAACCCATTACAGGACATGGGTGTACACATGTACACCTGGATAATTTTTGGAAAAGTCAAATTGAGTAGGCAGTATACAAGTGTAATAATTATATCAAATCCGAATACAGATAGCTTACATTAGGGTTTGGGCGCGCGCGCACAGAACAAAAGGAAGAGAAGGGGGCATACCTTTGGTGCTTGTCGCCGGCGACGGGCCCGACGAAGACCAGGCACCTGGCGTAGCCTCGTAGGGCGGCGGATACGAGAGGTAGAGCGCGCGCGGGGTGAACGGGGGAGAAGGCAGATGTCTCTTCGACAGGCCGCAGGGCGGCAGGTGCGCGAGTTGCAGTTGCAGGAGGCGCAGGAGTACAAGTACAAGCACAACTCGTGACGAACAGTTTTTATATAAAAAAAAAAGGAAAAAAACAATGGTACGACAATTTCCAAAAAACACGAAAAGACTATATGTGGGCCATCCTATATTTGAATGGCAATATTTTGATGATAGGGGCTTTATAGTCGGTTTTGTTGTGTTCTTTAATAAACCGTTAATCCATTATAAATCATCAATTCGTTGAAATATTCCATCTTTCCTTATGCGTTTCAATCAATTAGGACTCTTGGTGTAGACCTTTGCTAATTTCACATTTGAATTTGAATTGGGTTCACGTGTTGAGAGTAGTCATTATATTTCATGGACATAATATAAATCCATAGTAATAATAACTATTATTACCTTGTGCAAGATAAATATAAATACGAATTAAGGTAATTATCTTTGAGAAAGACATGGACTCATTGTTCTAATTTGGGTTATTGGGTACACGTTGAGGATAGTGACTATACATTAGAATTCATAGTGAAGATATCGTGGTGGTAACTATGGTACTATCTTATGTATGGGCAACATTTGCGTTATACAAATAATAGGGTAATACACTTAATAGATTTTGTACTAAAAATAAATGTAAGCACTTAGAGTTTTAATGAAAGCATATATAGGATTAACATAAAATGAAAATTGCAAATATTTAAGTAATTGCAATAAAAGGTCGTAATAATAATATTATATGTTAATTGGGTTTGTCGATTGGACAAACACTTTGAACAACGTATACATGTTACTCAGAATGTCATAGAACAAACTCTTTGAATAATACTAGAAATTTCCATAACATATAGGACATGTAATTTGAATTGACAATGATAAATTCAATTTTGTGCGATAGTACACATCACAATGCAATTTTAGAAGACCAATGGGTCTACAATTAATATTTGTATCGGTAAATATTAAGCATTATGATTGTTTTTTAGCAAGGATGCTCTTGTTGTTTCTTTTGCATTGTCCATAATAAATTTATTTACAGGGTATTTAGGGCTAAAACATAAAGGTACTAGACTATAATAGTTTGGCTACTTATAATCTTATATCCCCACGGAATTGTTTCACTTGGGGGGAAATTTATTGCTCCTGGTTTGCCCCAGATCTCGGATGCCAACCATAGATGCTACAGTCGGTGTCCAGATAATGCTGCTACACCTCCAAAGGGTCGATGTCGTTGTCGCCACTACGTGCTCGAACTCACTGGCCTTGGAGATGCGATGGTCTATGCTGGTAGCAAGGAGCGTGCATTGCCTAGCCCCAAATTGCATGGTGGCCTAGGCTCGCCATCGTGGTTGTCAAAACATGCGTGGAGGTATTGATGAACCGCAAGTAGAGGTCGGTGCTGACGCTCAAGCCAATGATGGCAGACAGGCGTTTCGGTAGCGAGTGGTAGTGGCACAGGATGTTAGGCAGTGTGTGGGTTTGACTGGTGGAGATTTGCACAATGACATAGGTGCCATCATTCAGGCACAAAAACATCAATGGAGACATCGGTGGAGGTGCGACTAGTTAGGGTGTGAAGCTCATACCACTAGCATCGATAACGGGGGAAGTAGTGGCGGCACATCACAGAAATGAAATAAAAGTGGCATAAATTAATTAATGAACTAAGAAGTCCAATTATATACCTTATGACATAATTGTTGGATTTGCATGTCGTGGATTCGACATGGAGAACAAACCATTTCTACTTACAAGATGAAGGCCAATTAGTGGCGACGATGAACAATTACCTATTCCGTTGTAGGTGGATTGACATCACGTAGAGTCCTTCATTTTTCTTGCGAACTTTATCTTCTCCATCTCATTTTAGTGCTTAGTAGAGAGTGTTGCATGATAACGTGTCAATGTTGAATATATATACATGGTGAAAAGGGTGGATGAAAGGGTATCTTATCCCAAAAGGACAAGGCAACCATTCCTATTCGATCTATGTGCTAAAGAACACGTCCCTTTGAAGACAATTGCTAATGCCTACTCCAATCTTTATGGCATCACTTTTGGAAAAGTTGTCTATTTAGAGAGGTATTGAAGAGGCTTCTATTCGCAGAGATACATGTTTCACACCAAATTTAGTAACATGCGCAGAAAAAAGTGGCCAAGAGCATGCACATTGCAAAATGAGCTGATATGTTCTTTGTGTTGGAACATGTCTATCTAAATTTGAGTATCTAACTCTACATATGAGGTGTTCCCAAAAAAAAACTCTACATATGAGCTCGTAGAGTCGTAGTTACAACTAATTGTTTTTTTAATGGTAGAAGACAATTTCCTCAAAAAAAATATAGCGGCTTCGTCAATTTCTATCCCTTCAATGTTCAGAAAGCTATAGGAATGTACGTGCATGTATTTGAATGTTTACACCGTACTCATTCTATTTTAAATTATAAGACGTTTTTATTTTTTCTAGATACATTGCTTTACTATATATCTAGACATAGTGTATATTTAAGTATATAGCAAAAGCTAAAACGTCTTATAATTTGGAACGGAGGGAGTACTATTTTGGAAGTTAAAAAGATGAGCAGATCATTCAGAGTCTATTTTTCGAGGAGGGCAGTGGTTGGACTGTAAAAGTGGTTCGTTGTAACCGATTGTCCTTCAGCGTTGAATCTTACATATGAATTCAAGAACAACAAACAAAATACAAACACGAAAGAATCTATATATGTGCTTTGCCAGTGAACATCGGCAATCTTCACATTGGCGTAGATCATTGTTGCGGTGGAGATATCTTGAGGTCGAGGCCAACGTTGACCCCGTTGTAGGCGATCGGAGCGAACATCCACGTATCATCCGAGCTCAATAGCTGCGCAAAACGAAAAAGATTTGAATACTAGTGAAATTTCAGTGCACACCAACAAGATTTTGGCTAGGGACTACAATTTTTGCAAGAACAAACCTTGATCTGGAGCTGCAAGAACTTGACGTATTGAGCTGCTTCTTCAAGCATCGTGCTGATATCTACCTGAAAAAACACGGCCTTACATACGTTAGAATTAGAACGGCTCGTTATCCTAGCTTTTTCAGCGTTCAAAAAAAAAAATTGCGAGTTCTCTTTTTTCATCTCAAGCCAATGGTATAAACTTGCCTTGGTTCCATTGGGTACAAGATTCTGCAATACTTTTAGACGCTCATTGATCCGCTCTCTCCTTTTCTGCATCACCAAAAGCAGGAAAACTTCAGAATCTAGTTTCAGACAGCAGCAGGCAAGTGCATGGAACTACATGCAACATCATCGCGGTTGCCGAGCGAATTCCGATCTCGTTACCCTGGCGTAGAGGCTTTGCGGATCGATGGCGGCCCCACGTCCGGCCCTGGCCTTCCCACCAGCCGACGACGACGACTTCTTGGACGCCGAGCTCATGTTGCTGCACGCGATCATCTCCAGCGAGTCGTCGTCAGACAGGTAGTTGCTGGAGCACTGTTGCTGGTGCGCAGCATTGCCGTCGTCGCCGTTGCTCTCCTCCTGGTTGCCTCGGTTGCACGCGCCTTTCTGCGCCTTCTTGCCCTTCTTCGGCGCCTGATCACTCCGCCCGTCAGGCATCAAGTCCATCCAATGCACTGAAATGCCCTACGATCACGAGTTCATGGCATGGCACACTTACCGGTACTGCGGTGGATCGCGATTTCTTCTTTGGAACGGTGCACGTGGTGCTCTCGCCCTTCTGATCCTCCAGTTTCCTCTTGCACACCGCCGGCGTGTTGCCACCGCCGCCGCGGCCGGTCCCCTGGCCGTCCTGGTACTCGAAGTCGAGGTTCAGATCAAGCATGAAGCTCGGGTCCGCCGCCATGATCTGCTCCTCCGGCACGAAGAAGTCGCCGGCGGTCATCGTGAACGTGTTGCTGCCATAGTAACCATGGTCGTAGCAGCTTGCGACCGAGTTGGGTTGCTGCATCTGCATGTAGTACGGGTACGGCGCCGAGCTGTAATATTGGTCAGCTTCTTGGCCAGGCCAGTACATGGCCGTCGGCGTCGGCGTCGGCTGCTTCTGCTCGTTGCCTGCGGAGTACTGGACGCCGAGCAGCTGGGCCATTGCCTCGGAGTCCTCCACGGCGACTGTCGGATCGAACGAGTAGTGCCAGCTCGCCTCGGAGGACTCCATTGTTTTTCCTTTTCGGTACTAGTTGGTATGATGGCCAAGCTACAGCTACTGGTAAATGGGGGATGGTCGTGTCTGAATTTATACTAGCAGCACTAGCACAAGGAACAGCTTCTAGTTTTCAGTTCAGTTAAGGGAATGTTCCCGCGTACAAGTCTGACCATTTGCGCCTTCAACATCAGACATTCAGACTGGCGGGTTCTTTAATTCCTACTAGCATTCTGGGGATGGGAAAGCATTATATTTCCAGTTGGAGATGCTAGCTAGACAGCTAACACCGCTGAAAATCGCGCAACGATGTAATAGGAAAAGAGAATGAGACCATTCAGTTAAAAAAATACACGATTATTTCGTCCTGAGAATCCAGATGATTACATGAATAATAATTGGCTGCAATAGGCAGGAATGATTAGGTGATTGCTAGAGTAATGTACAGTGGTAGTCTTAAAAGAGTGATTTGCATTGGATGACAAAAATAAGAGACTTGGATGGTAGGACTGTGGTTGGGGAATAAAGAAGGAGATGGTCGTGACGAAGTCGGCGAGATCGTGGGGAAGAGTTCTTCGCCATTATAATTTCACAAGGAGGATACAATTTGTTGCTTCATATCATTGATTCTGATCTTTGCCTCCCACATAGGGACTTCACAACTCTCTTATTTGTGGGTGTGGGTGTTTTTCACTAGTTTTTCTTGGCTATAACTTAGAGTGGCGGGGCATCATTCTATTTTCTTCGATTAGTTGTAAGCATCTGATAGTTTAGCTTCATTCGTGTGTGTGTGTGTGTGTGTGTGTGTTTATTCTCATCTGGTCGCCTTGTTCCAAATTATGAACGCATATTGTCTGTCTCTTGCCGGCCGGCACGTACCAATGCAATAGCTAGCTAAGCTTTGTGTCACCCATTCGATCGCTGCTATTTTTTTCTCTCACTGTACTCGTCTGCCTACTCCGGACGGTGCTTTCCTTCTCAAAAATTAGCTGCCAAGTGTAAATGTGATTCTATTTGCGTTTATTTATTTCGGCAGTACTTCTTTCGGAAAAAAAATATTTCCGCAGTACTTGTGTGCATGCTTTCATACCTTGCCGGCTTTGCCCGATCAGCAAATCTTGTACTTCGGCACCATTTTTTCAGTAGTTTAAGTTGAGGATATTATTTTGCTATTACGTTTTTTTGTTCCATGTGTTGAGCCAGTTAGCAATAATGGGATGGACACACATACGTCTGCAATCTCTCGATGCTTAATCTGTTCGTTGAGGAAATATAAACAAGTCGGCACTGGCTGTCTCAAATTACAGGCACGTTATAACCACGTTCAACAACCAAAAGCAAAGAAATACAGAGAAAATTTTGAAGCCACATATTCGGTCTTACTTCGAGAGCATTATCCTTTGTGTAGCTCTGTTTTTGCAGAACAATACAGACACAGTAGCGCAGTGTGCACAATTGATCCAACATACATTCCCTCTAGGCTAGCTGTTTCGTGCACGGATTTCTGACTTTGCGCTGTACAATGCGAGAGGGCATGCATTTTTGTTAGGACAAACACGTACAGAATACTGCGGTTCACACAAAGGAATGAAACAAAAATAAATTGAATTGAAAAGTTTATAATATGAACGCCAGTTGCGTAAATAAGTTCACCAATCCTAGACGCGCGCCGACGCTTTTTTCCTGGTGACAGGATACACACGCCAACAAAACAAATTAGCCACCTATACTGCCAGAATCTGGCCGGTTTTCTCCTGACAGATTAGCCAGCTGCTCCCAGAGAATACCATCTGTGTGTACTTGTGTCGTCGTTAAAGACTTCATAATCATGTCATGTTGGTCCACTCTACAATCATATGATGCCCGAAAAATACACGTGTGCCAGGGGCAGAAGAACGCGTCTCATATATTCATATATCGCTGCTGTGGGAGCTACACGAGCGCGCGCCATGAGACAGCACCTTCATCGACAACCTGTTGTGGGATACATGGGAGGTCGCCAGGAAGCCAGCTCTCCGACTCCGATCCGCCGTCAGTACTTTTCAGCGAATCAGCATAGCCAAATTTCAACGTCCTCCTGCAGCACGACGACACGGATAGCCAACGGCGCGGGCAGCGGGGTCCGCTCGTCCGGCGCGGCAGGCCGGGCGGCAACGGGCAACCGCATCCACGCCGCGACGTGACCGCGGGCCTATGCCCTGCGCTCCGGGTACATATCTGCCGACTTGGCGTTGGTGAGGGGCTCACGCGCGGCTTCGGCCGTCCAATCCGCACGATGGCAGCTTGACTTGAAGAATGCAGAAAACCACAAGCCGTTTCTGGGTTGCAGACGCTGGTGCCACATCCAGATAGCACGATGGTAGACTGACTGGTGGAACAGAAAACAGGTCGACAAACATGGTCGCAAGGTTTTTTACTCTACTTGGGGTCCGTTAGGACTGGACCTTGAAATAATTCCAGCTTATCAAGATTAATCTGGCTCCCGAGACGCCATCGCATGGAGCTACCGGGGCGTGGTCATGTTGGGGCTCCGTGGCCACCGAGGTGCTCTGACGATCAACCTGTTAGGGCTCCATGGCCGCCTTGGCAAGGCATCAGGCGGACGAAGTTGGAAGGCTCGGGGTGCGACTGAATGAGGCCACATGACTCTAAGTCCGAGCTAGCAGATAAGAAAGAAAAAGAAGAAAAAAGAAAAAGAAAAAGAAAAAGGAAAAGGAAAAGAAAGAAGAGAAAAAAGAAAGAAAAGAAAAGATTGGGTATTATGTTTCCTCATTGATTAATTGTGTGCTATCGGTCTTGACTTTAATAAAAATTGCACGATGAAGTGTTTGTACTATGTAAATTCACTAGTATGCATTATGCTGCGCTATATTTGTTGATTCTTTGATGCTATAATTGGAAGTGGAAGTAAAAACGTGTGCCCGCCTGCGCTATGGCATAGATGCAATTGGTTATTAAGTAGAAGAAAATATATTGAGTCAAAATTATTTATTTATATATACGTTTTTGAGCATAACATCAAGTGCAATACAAATATAATGATGTAAATACTATAGCTTTCAAGACAAAACAATACATAGATATCAAAATTTTGGATGGCGCTATACCTTTCTTTCCGTTGCAACGCATGGTACTTTTGCTAGTTATACAAACTAGTGAACTAATTCAACCGAGGATTGTTCCAGAGCATCGTTCCTAAGGAACCGAACGAGCCCTTAATGAGGTCCGTTGTTGGATTCGGACGTTTCCATAGGCTAGGATTCGGTAGCCCCCCCCTCCCCACCTCCTTGTCCGGACACCCGAGCCCCATCCCGCTTCTCGCCCGTGCCCCCTCCGCTTTCGGCACGCGCATGCCGCGCGGGGACCGCCTGTGCCCTTCCCATCCACCTTTGGCGTAAGTTTCCCGCGCTACCCCGAATGTCACAAACATAGGGGAGAAGAGTAGGGCGCGCGGAGGATGCCCAGCCGACGCTTGGAGGAGGAGAAGACACCGAGACGAGGCAGCAGAAAAGCGACGAAGAAGATGCAACACCCGATTTTACTTTTGAAACATCGAGATGCAACACTTGCATCATACATCTGAAGGTAGATGAAACACTTAAAACATGCTTCCGAAACACTTGAAAAAAAAACACCTGGAAAACACTTGAAAACCATTGCAAAACATACGCAACATCCAGATAAAACACTTGCAACATATGTGTGAAATATATGCAACATCTAGATAAAAACACACTTGCAACATACATTTAAAAACACAGATGAAACATTAGAAACAGACCTTTGCAACATACGCGTACAACCATTCAACCCTACTCTTGCCCACAAGAAATTCTTATTAGATACTCAATTCTTCATTTCGGATACATGCCCTAAACAAATGGGTATGCCTATGGTGAATTACTTAAAAAGTTTATGGACATAAATCTACTTTTTTAGAGTTGATGGACCTATATGTCACAACCGAGAAAAGTTAATGGGCCTATGGTGTATTCACGTATAGTATACGTGACCCATGCGCCATGCTAGCTCATTACATGGATTGGATCTTTCCCCAAATGAAGGAATGTGAACATGCAGTGAACTACTTAAAAAATTTATAGATCTAAAGTTGGAGTTTCAGAGTTGATGGAACTAAATGACATTACCCAAAAAGATAACGGACCTATGATGCATTAATCTTTTTTTTATTTTTGAATATAGAAAACATTCTTTAAGAGAACCTATAAGACCATGTCCGGTTTCAACGGTTGAAGGGCGTCCGGTACGCAATTTCATAGTTTAAAGTTAAAAATCAGCATGCATTATAAATTGGAGCCTGAGAAATTCTCTATAGCATTGATAATATCCGCATGAAACAATTGCAACATATATATATATATATATATAACATCTTAAACACATGAAAAATACGTTTGCAACATCTCCTTTCTGCTTAGGAGAATGGAGGCTCGTCAGCGTGTAAAGTTCGCCGAAGGCAGCGGCCCGGCAGCGCTTGTAGGTGGTGGGTCGGCGGCATCGGCGGCGTGAGGCGGCAGGGACGCATCAGCCACGCGACACGGTAGGGAGGCAGGGGGCAGCTGTGGCTTAGAGGTGGCTGCGCGCCGCGCTTGGCAGGCAGGACCGACAGTCCGGTGGCAGAGCGCCGCGCTTGGCAAGTTGGGCCGATAGCCGAGTGCCGTGGCTCGGAGGCGGCCACGCACCGCGCCTGGTAGGCAGGGCCACCAGTCCGGTGGCCGAGCGCGGGTCCTTGAAGGCGGCAGGCGAGCGGATAAGAGCGACAAGCGGCTAGGCGCAACGAGCGGATAAAAAGAGCGACGAGTGTTTTTTTTTAATTAGAAACTGATGAGGGAATTTGAGGGGGTTGTTGAGCCGGTCCACTGCGCATCTGGGGGGCGTGTCTGGACGGACGCACGTAATGATCCCAGCATTATCGATCTAATAAGGACCGTCCTAATTCGAATATTTGCTCACTCAGGCACGTTGGTGAAAAAAAAACCCGATGAGCTCAAACG